CATTCCTCCGACTACAGCGCGTGAAAAGCTCAAGATTTTAAACTATAAAAAATATATATAAAAAATATATATTTTACCAGGTGTAAGGCGCACTGAGCTATGTAGATCTTTTCAGAAGCGATTTGGCTGCAAACGATAGCTCAACAAAGTGGCTCATCGTCATGTGGAAATGTACAGCAGCCAAATACTCTAAAAACGTGATGTTGATTCTAAATGTTGAGGGAAAAACTGGAGGAGCCAGAGAAAAATCCACACGACCACGGAGAGAACATACCAACTCCAAATATAAAGGCATCGTCAGGGTCGGGATTGAACCCAAAACCTCCTGTATACCAGGTGAGGCAGTTAACATTTTGCCATGGGGAGAACATGCAAACTCATTTTTTACAAATCTCAGTCTTCAACCGAAGTTTGAAAACATTATTACATGAGCTCTGTCTGTCTGGTCTGAAGAGCGGCACGGTTAGCTCTCGTATAGATGGTTCAACACCAACGGAATTTTAGCGTAAAAGTTGTGGCACTTGCCCTGGAAAAAACCGGCCACGTCCATTAAAGCGCTCTTGCCCAAAACTTGGCGATAAAAACCCTGCGCTGATCCCTGATGACCAAGGCGATGACATCATTCCGTGTGATGTCATCTCGCCATGCCGCTTGGAAAGTGTAACTATGATTGGCCTGGACTTTTGCAGCTGTTTTAGACTAATTTCAGGGTGCTAATTCCAAATCTGATCTCAGATTTGCTCTATCACATCTCATTTTTATGCTATCGGCATACCCCATTTTCATTGATTTTACCCGAAATTAACTCGGTCACTTATGATTGCAAGTTGTTGCGAGTCAGTGACTGCTTTAGTGTTAAAATATGGTGCTGTATTTTTAGGATAGTGTGTTTATATTAGAATTTTATGTAGATATCCACATTTATTTAATATTATTCTTCTGCAGTTTTTATTGAAAATGCAATATTTGATATCTCAAAAACCTGATGTGATAGACAAAAACTGATGCCAGATTTGGAATCGGCACCCCAAAATTACCTTATAAACCGTTGGAATAACTTATGCCAGAAAAAGTGTGTTGACCAGTGTAATTATAATAATCAAACACAACTGCATCTGCCGCTCCACCCAACTAGAGCAGGCCCTTCTACCCGCAGTCGCTGGGTAAGTCATCGTAAGGCTGCACCTTTGATTTCAACGATTGTTGCCACCCTGAGTGGTGCTGCTCTGCAGTCTTCCGTCGCGGTGGCGAAATGTTATCTTCCTCGCCTGGTACGCAGGAGGTCGTTGGGTTCGACCCCGGCCCTGACGATGCCTGCTGTATATTTGGAGTTTGCGTGTTCTCCCTATCCTCTGGTTTTTTCCTCCACATTTGGAATCAACATGCCTTGAAAGTATTTGGCTGCTATAAATGTCCACGTGATAAGCCCCTTCTTTGAGGTATCGCTTGTGGCGAGGTCGCCTCTGAAAAAAAGCTAAAGAGCTCTTACAGTCCCAGAATCCACATCTCATCGGCCTATCGCCCACCGGTAAATTTACTCCGCTCAGAGCGTAGCGCGGAACGAACGGACACTTGACCCAGGTCAGAGGCACGGGGCGGCCAAGCCAGTGGGCAACAAAACAACGCACCATTCACGAGGCTCTAGGGGGAGAGGGGGGACAGGAGGCGCCCGCCAGAAACGTCGAGGGCCTTTTGCCACCGACATCACCGCGGCTGTGGTCATTTTAGCCGATCCGTCACCACCACCGCCACCGCTTTCACTCCCGTCGCACACGAACATGGCGAGATTTAAACCCCACGGCTTCTCTGCCACGTTTCGGAGTTGTCCCGCGTGTTGTTCAGCACTATAGGGACTCCTCTACTTGCCAACGAGTTAGGTTCCAGAAATCTGTTCGTAAAGTCTATTTGTTCGCAAGTCCAACTTTACTTCTGTGTTGTATGGTGTGTACACTAACTATTAGGAATGGCTTCAAAAGTTGTATAATCTCCTGTAGATGTAGATGCCACTGGTTCTTCATGTGCTGCCGATGTAGATGCCACCACCGCCAACTATTGCGTGGCGGTTGAACTTACGACTCTTGACTCTTGGTCTAAGCAGGCAACTGGACATACGGACAAGTTTGTTCGTATCTCTGAAAGTTCGTAAGTCAAATGTTTGCAAGTAAGAGGAGTCCCTGTACGTCCAGACGTCTAACTCCCCAGCACAAGCGACCTCCGGGAAGTTCTTCTAAACTAAGGCCCACTGAGCTACATCACTCTTTGTCAGAAGCAACCTGGCCACAAACGATAGCTCAACGGAGTGGCTTACTTTGCGGAAACCTATAGCATTAAAATACTCGATTTGAAGCTTTCGTGACTGCAGGGATTCATCTTCTTGGTTCTTTCGGTAAAGTCACGTAAAATGGAAATAATCAAAATAAAACATAATAAAATAATTCTCACGACGTTTCGGCCACAAAGCAAACAGACCTGTTCTTCACCAGTCTTAACGACAGACCTGTTCTTCACCTGAGGACGGCTGTTTGCGTTGTGGCCGAAACGTCGTGAGAATTATTTTATTATGTTTAATTTGTATTATTTTATTATTTCCATTCTACGTGACTTTACCAAAAGAACCAAGAACATTAAAATACTCTAAACGCATGTTTCTAAGTGTAGAGGGAAAAACCAGAGGACCCGGAGAAAAATCGCAAGAACGTACAAACTTCAAATATACAACGGGTGTCAGGGGTGGGATCCTAACCCACGACCTCCTGCATACCAGGCGAGGTAGTTGACATCTCAGCGCCACCGCGGCGCCCTAAACGACCGCCGGACGGCGTGCCGAACAACATCCTGAGCACAGGTCCGAGAGCCATACAGCACAAGCGCGAAAAACCGACGCAACCCATTCAAACGCTCTCTTCCGTCACACGACTCGGAATCATTTGGGGCAGCCATGGCTTCTGTTGTTGTTTATGTGGGTTTCGTGGTTTTAGTTAATGTGGAAGCATTTCATCATCGCCGATGTCATCGTTATCACTGACGGATGAAGGCCTCGCGGCATGTCGTCGCCATCCGTCACGGTAATGAGACGCCACAATCCCATCAAATTCCCAAGCACGAACTGACATTTTTGTACCATCTCGCATATATTTGCACACAGAAATCATATTCACGTATAAACAAAACGCATACACAAATATACAGGACACATTGACATGGGCACACACATGTGTAAAGGTAAATGCTGGGAATTAACAGAGAATCAGAAAGAGTAGCATACATATATACATACCACAAATACATGTAAACACATACACCAATACCCGCCATTCGCCACTAAGTGACGGTGAGGTCACCACGGCGCCTGTGCCAGGCCAGGTGCACATTGAGGCCACGTGAAGTGTCAAAGGCTCGCTAACAAGCGGCCACGGGACAGACCCAGGTGCCATAGGTTGACCGACTGAGGTGACAGGTAGATGCACCAGCTGTAATCCCTACTGTGCCAACTAAACACATACATACACACAAACGTGCATATACACCGTGCATTTACATATCATTATCACGAGCCATGATCGATCCACTGCTGGATTACAACCTTCCCATGCAGTCGCCATGTCCAACAGCCCTGCGATGTCACGACCCACCTCACTCATGCACACCGACTCACCGTGTCCCCCCCTCCACCTTCACACGATGGTCATCATCTCGGGCGAATATTTACCTCCCTTGGCTGCGACTCAATCCGAAGCCATTAACCGTTGGGCATCGTCCCTCCTAACCACGATGCGTCCCCTGCCCCGAGCCCACTTAGTTTTCTTTGACAGTCAACACGACGTCTCGAACGTTCATCTGGTCTCCGATCGATGTGTTCCTCTCCCAGTATTTCTAGATTTGAAGCTTTCGTGACTGCAAGGATTCATACTCTTAGTTTTTTCAGTAAAGTCACGTAGGTAAAAAATGAAATAAAATTTTAAAAAATAAAAATTTATTCTTTCTTTAAAATTAATTTTAATTTCATTTTTTACCTACGTGACTTTACCGAAAAAACTAAGAGTATACTCTCCCAGTATCTCAATGTAATTTCAAGAAATCAACCGCCCGGACTCCTCAGCTTTTGTTCCACGTCCTTTGTCAATGCCCTTTGTTACAGACGGTCAATTCCGCGGTAATGGAATCACAGCGCAGGTCGCGAAGCTGACAAACGGAAAAGCTGAACAGAAATGACCTCACGGCAGGTCCGCTGCGGTTCACATGAGAGCACCCCGCAAAAAAAATTATCCCAAATCAACCGACTGACTTGAAGGCGTGATAAATTGCCCCGTTTGTTGGTCACGTGACAACTCTGTTAAAATCGGCTGTGCCGGGCGAAGGAGAGAGTACGACGCGCGAAAAAAAATGATGAACCACAAAATCCGAGTCGCTCTCGAAGACGGGCCGCACAGCCCAATTGGGCTTCACTCGGGGAAATACACTTCTGAACTTCCACGACTTCGATACTGTCTCAGTAGCCATACGTCCAATCCCAAGCGGGTCATGCACACCGAATCGGAATCTTTATTTAGACTGCAGGAGGAATCCGATGAGCTTATGAAGCTCTACTTCACAGATGTCCAGTATGGGCGGGTCAACAAGTTGCTACAACAACAACAACAAAACAATACAATGATTTTCAGACTCAACTGGTGAGGCCCACTGAGCTAAGCAGCTCTTCTGCAACAAGGAGGGCCAGAGGGTAAAGGTGCAGCCCTGCAACCGCTTGCTCACACCACTGCTGGCGGAAGAGCCTCCGCTACAGAGCGCCCGGTCCAGAGGGTATTTGGTCTACTTGTCCACGCTATCCCCCGACGAATTTGTAACAGGTGGGAATACCCACACTTAAAAAAAAATAAAGATAAAGATTCCGCTGACACACCCCGCCCCGCCCCAAAAAAAAACCACAGGCAATCCTCGGTGTACGCAATTTTGTGCCGCTTCCCGTCCGGCGCACGGCGACCCCGATTGGCGCGACGTACCGGGGTAGGGGGGCGACGACGCCGTCACGTTGCTGCTGCCGCTTCCGCCGCCGCCGCTGCCGCCGCCGTACGACGGCGAATCTTGGCTGGAGAAGGTGGACGCGGTGTCGTCACTCAGGCTCTCGCCCTCGGGACCTGGCACTTTACGTTTTGGCGTTGTCTGTGACGGGGGGGGGGAAGAAACGGGGCCGGACGGGGAAGGAGAGGGGAACCGTCAGGTCCACGCCGCGACGAAGAGCAACCGACAGCCGGCAACAGGCAACAAGCAACCGACAAATGACAACCACCAACCGGCAACTAACAACGAGCAACCATCGACAGCCCCGCTGACGGGACACGGCAATAAATGTGAAGGTGCAGCCGTACAATTTCTTGTGTACGGGGGGCAACCCGCTGGTGCAATGACTTCCGCTGGAGGAAGCTGCAGAGAGCCCCGCGTTGTAGAGCGTTACCTTTGGCCTACTCTCCCACGACGGACAGATGTTGTGGAATATGTGCGAGCACGCACACTACACCCCAACAACATGGGACCTGGGAGGCCCTCATCTTGTATCGGATTGACAAAGAAGGCGTTTGTCTTGTTACTTGTCTCTGTCATAGGAATGTGGAACCTCCAGCAACGGCTCAGGTCAATAACTGAACGGAAAATACCATTTTTTTTTTAAAAACACGTTTCTTTTAGATCACTGTTTATCATGAAACAGCAGTCACCGGCAAGACACTCAGTTCTGCTGGGTGTATTTTTTTAAACCACTACAATTTCACGTACTGAAACACGCCCACTGAAAACAGCGGCGACGTTGCTGTTACACACACACACACACAAAAAAACGTCGGGGGAAGCACAAAAATGTTCCAAGACTCATGTTTCGCTTTAAATTAACAAACCAAAAGTTAAATAATAATAAAAAGGCCTGCTACGTTTCTAAATGCCGCTTTATGTGACGGTATGCAGGCCGGGCTGCCCACACACACACCTCGAGGGAATGGAGGACTTGCGCACAACACACACCTCCTTATAAGGCGCTCCCTAATCGCACATTTCCAACGACAAATTGCGGCGCCTGCAACGACACGCCGGGCCGTCGAAGAGCCACCATCCCCTTTGTCACGACCACGGACGCGGGCTTCCGCTCCTCTCCCCGCTGGCGCGCGGCGCTTTCCATCGTTGCGTCTGTCATTTTTGTTCCGACGATCGCCGACGGAATCAGTTCACCGCCGATGGCGGTGAGGGGGCGCCGACGACCCAAGACGGCTCCACTCGAGTCTACGGTCAAAACCGTTCGGCGCGCGCGAGGACATTCCCGGACGGCGCCGGCGCGAACGGCTTCACGCGCGACGTCCCGTTATTTAGCTGTGCGACGACCCGCTTAGCACAAGGCTGCAGCGAACCAACGATTATGGCCGATTAGATGTACGCATGTCTGATATGGCTATTGTTCACAATTGCACCAAATTAAAATAAAACCTACGCGCGATGAGATCTCGGCTGCTGCATCTCCTCGGTGGGTACGCTAAACGCCCGGACGCTTCCCCCCCCTCTCCATTGAGGATGCCGCTTTGTTATTCGCGAGCGCCGGCCCGGCACCCCCCATCCAAGCGACGTGTCCTCAGCAGGCCCACTTTGAACTTTTCACGGCAGTCAAAGTTACGTCTTTAATCAGCGGTCATCGAGAAGACATTGAGCTCCAATGGTGTGCTTTTTTTTATATGCATTGCTGCTTATTAAAACATGTCGGCTTAAATAGCAGCGGTTTAAAACAGCTACATTGTGTCATCTCTAATCCACGTGTTCCATCATTCAATGCCCAATGTTAAAGCTTTCGTTCCATCTTTTTCTGTCAGTTGCCACGTCTCCGATACCCATTTAATAGCAGGTATGACGTGATTATTTAATAATAGATGTAATAATATATATATACGAGAAATTCAAACTACACTTCAGAGGCCATTGAAGATTACTGATGTTCCACAGGACCTAAAGTTAAAGTCTATTCAGGTGAAAATTAAGGAGCATATCACGTGAGTTGAAACAGTTTTAAAATAATAATCGTTTAGTTTGTAATGCACACAGTTTCCGTTCACCGTCAGAGAGAGAATGATGCAGAGGTGCGGGGAAACCACAAGGAGCCAGAACTAGTACCAACAATTGCCCAATGTCTGTGATCCTCTCTTGAGATCATTGGTCACCTCCATTCATGACTGTATGTGAACGCAAGTATTGTTTTTGTAACTGTACAGTGCGAAGCGTTCGGTAGCGGCGACACAAGTGATTCACGCAGCATTTTGCAATGAACCTGGTGGCGTTATTTCGATTCCTAGCCTGGACTCATATCAGTGGCGAGCGATGGCTAAACCAGTTCTGGCAAACCCCAACCTTCACCAAGTCTGCGACTGTCGCAACCGTGGGGAGACCTTCACCGAGCGGTGGATTAACGAATCGCTGAAGTGATCAATTTGAGAAGAGTCAACTGGCGCCGTAGCGAGCTGTTATCTCCCTCGCCCGGTACGCAGGAGGTAGTGGGTTCGATCCCGGACTCTTACGCCTGCATACTTGGAGTTTGCACGTTCTCGCTCCCCATGGTCGCGCGGATTTTTCTCCAGGTCCTCAAGTTTTGCCCTCCACATTTAAAAAAACATGCGTTTAGATGGTTTGGCTGCTTCCATAAATTCCCACGTGTGATTATATAAGCCACTTCCATGAGCCATCAGGTGTGGCCAGGGCGCCTTTCAAAAGGAGCTAATAGCTGCGTGGGCTTTTCAAACAGTGTAGTTAACTTTTTAAACATATCACTACGGGATGCCATTTCAAAGCTGACAGGAAGTTGCATGGCCATTTAAACAACAGATCTTGAGAAGGACTCTCGGTTTATACAGCTTGGCCCTTTTAGGACCTATTGCATCGTTCAAGGGGCCCACTCTGCTTTTCTAACTCGGCTGTCTGTATACATTCATTTGACGTAGGTGCGACATTATTAATTTTACTTCAATGCTACATTATTCACTTTACTTACATCCTACATTACACTGGACGCTGCTGAAACAATTATTTGAAATCGGCACACGCTCTCTCGTGAAGGCGGGCAGCATAGACGGTGGAAGTATATCGATACGGCAAAGCTTTCCTGCATTGCCCTCTGAAGCCCACAAAATAGAACCCCACCACCCGCCCCCAGAAGCCTATAACACCTGTTGTATACGTGCCAATCACTCATCCAAGATAACCCTCTACGGGGATCAACCTCCCCCCCCACCCGCCGGCTTAGCATCCGAGACCTGGCAAGATCGGTCTCACGTTCCTGGGCGATTTTGACGGGTACGGCAATATATATTCTTGGTTCTTTCGGTAAAGTCACGTAAAAGGGAAATAATAAAATAATAAATATATTAAACAATAAAATTCTCACGACGTTTCGACTGCAACACAAGCACGATTGCTTGTCAATGTCAATTATCAACCAAGGGGTCTCGTTCCGTAGCGCGGTCAGATCGAGGTCCGCGTGCCGATTCAGTCCGTTTAATTTCGGGCGCTTTTAAACGCGGGGGAAGAAGTGTAATATGAACACGCGCGTCTATATTATTTACATAATTTTGCTGCTGTAAACTTCCACACGATGAGCCGCTTCAACGAGCTGTCATTTGTGGCCGGGTGCGCTTCTGAAAAACAAACTGACAGCTCAGTGGGCTTTACCTGGTCGGATAAAAAAAATATTTGTAATTTTATTTGTATAATTTTTTTTAACTCATCTGTTTACCTTTCCTATACTTTGCACTCCCATCCTGTGTTCAAGTACTATTTGTTGTCGTGAGGGTTCTAACCCACGCGCCTTGACTGGACATCTATGAAAAAGAGCTTTACAGCTCATTGGATTCCTCCAGTATAAAATAAATATTCCGATTCTGACCGAGTGCAGAACCCAGGAGGGAAGTAAAATCAAACAACTGTACGCCAAGCAAAGGAATGCCTCAATATCCGTTCCTCCGCGTCCCCACGCTGATATCTTATTAGATTACCGACGTTAAGCTGTATGCCTTGGCTTGGCGTGCTCTCCAGCCAGCTACTCCGCTGTGTCTCAGCAGAGTAGCGGCTACTCAACCATTTAACATCAAGCCACAGTTCAACTCCCCTCGCTGCTGGCATCTGCTACAGATTTTGAACTCTCGGTCAGATGCACTTCTGGAATATTCTAAATATACACTGTTCCAGCAGTTCGGTCTGGAAGACCCAATCCAAGCGTTCACGTTTATTTGCTCGAGCACAATGACTCATTGATGTCTTTCACGTTGTACGACATTCAACGTTCTTTTCGACGGCCACGCAAGATGAGCCCCCGTCAGAGGTTGCAACCGGGTACCCGATACCCGTACCCTACCCGATACCCGGGTACCCGGCCGGGTACAAGTACGGGTAGCCGTTTGCGACCCTGGTGCGGCCGGATACGGGTCGGCCGTGAGTCACTGGTGAGTAGCCGTTTGTCACTCATTTCGGGTAGGGTACGGGTAGGGAACGACCCTGGTGCGTACGGGTAAGGAATCAAAACCCGTTTGCGACCTCTGGCCCCCGTGTTGGTTTTTTTGTCAGATCATGCCGCGCGTCGTCCTCCAGCACAACGTCAAGACGTTTTCGCTCCACGTGCCGGAAGCTTCTTCTGGCAATGAATTGACGCTCCCGGCACTTGGGAGGGAAACGTCGGACGTCGTGCCGGGCAACACAAGGCGGTGTAACCCAAAAGCACGTCCGAGACCCATAATAAAGCACAATCGACAAGATCTATAAAGTACTATTAGCCTGTAACTTGAATACCAAAGTCATCAGATGCTGGGACCAAGGTTCAATCCAAGCATTCAAAGCCCCAACCCTTCACAACGGTAGAGTGGACGGCAGCGTAATCGCCAAAAATCCACGTTTGAACAGTATAGATAAGCAGACAATACATCTCCTGCACACATCTGTCTGTCCGCTAAAAAATAAATCAGATTATATTTTACAAACCCATCGGGTCAACGGCCTTCTGGGAGTGCATCATTTCAGCAACGTTGAGTCAGTGGAAGCTGAAGTCGGGACCAGCTTTTGACATATAGCGTCTCATGAGCAGCGTCAGGAGGCCTGCCTGCTTGTGAATCAATGCCCTTGAACAGCCAGTTGTTATAGGCAAGGGCCCTCTCTTCAAGATATTCCTTCCCCAAGTAAGATCGCTCGCTTACGCGGTGCCCTCCGTGCCGTCTAATCACCTCGTTCGTACATAGGGGGCTCATTCCGCGCTACTTTCAGTTCTGCAATTAAAAGCAGAACAGCGGACAGGCATTTTTCAATATGCCTCATGTAGTGCGATGACGATGAAAACAACGTGAAATACAGTAATAAAACTACAACTAATTAAAAAGAAATATGATACTGTATTATGATTTTTAAAAATGTAAATAAGCCATCCCTCGATATTAAGTTCTAGTGCAGAATCACAATTAACCAATCACTCCATCCTATCTCACTTTGAGTTTGCCCTACAGGTGGGGTCATGCCCTTTCAAAAATACACGCAGATTTTCATCTTGGAAAGGAATATTTCGTGATAATTTTAAAGTGCATTTCTTATTCTTGCACTACTTTCGGTTTCCTAATGACATGCGGAAATAAATATCCTTAAACACATCTAAAATAGTACGATGATAACAATCATAACGAATATCCTTCAAATAAATTAATAAATTGTAATGTGTTGATTTAGAAAAAATACTGAAATTCAGCCATCCCTCAAAATGTATTTCTGGTGCGGAATTATAATTGACTAATCACTTCGGTCAATGTGTTTTTTTTGCCTGCTCTACAGAGGTCAGGTCATGCCCTCTCATAACACAGATTTGCATTTTGAAAAAAGGTTGTTTTTGTGATTAAGTTTTAGTGCATTCCTCATCCTCCCACGACTTTGGTTCTGGAGCTAAAAGCGGAACCAAAAAAACATCTTCCGGAATTATCGCTCTCATCGGCAAAAAATATAGATATCAAAACTGTCCGTTCCAATGTAGTTCTCCTCTGATCGAATGTAGCTTTTCGCTGGCAAAAATCTAATCTTAAACGGGTCACGCCTGGTTACCGAGTTATTTTTGTCTTTCAGATGTGATCAAAGTTTTTCTTTCTTTTTCAATCGGCTCTGGTGGCGAAGCTGCCGACGCGGATGGTATTTATTAGATAATAATGTACTCGATTCAAAACTGTGAGTTGAGTAAGGGACATGCAACCCACTGGTTCACGCCACCACAAATGAAAACCCAGATATCAACGACTCACATCCCCTTTCCAAGTAACCGGCGTCAGTCCAGTGTTGTAATTAATCAAAGGACTGCCTGGCTTTTTACGCAATGCCCACTTACACGAACAATACATTTTGGATTTAAAATCGTGGCTCAATGTGACCCAACATCTCAAGGACACTGTACAGAAACATTGGGAAGTTTTTTTTTTGCCAAGTGAGTCACAGGCACGGCAGAAAAGGTGCTGAGGCTGGACTTGACCTGAGGCGAGGAGTTGACAGCACACGTGGCTGAGGGGTAATAGAGATCCATACGATGGTGGGGCGGTAAGCAGAGGAGAAAGAGCGCCCTTCCACAAAACAAGAGTTAACTCGGGGCTTGTACGAAAAGGAGGCAGTGGTCACCTTAACTGGAATAATCAACACATGCAAATTCTTGTCAAGGCGCCCTTCCCCCCTTCCAACCCAGCTTAAATATACGCTCCAAGCGTGGTGGTGTTTCATTCAGACGCTGTCTCCCCGACAGACCTGGTCTTCACCTGAGGACGGCTGCTTGTGTTGTGGCCGAAACGTCGTGAGAATTATTTTATTATGTTTTATTTTTGTTATCTTATTACTTCCCTTCTACGTGACTTTACCGAAAGAACCAAGAAGATGAATTGCTGCAGTCACGAAAGCTTTAAATCGAAACATTCAAAGTTCTCTTAATTGTCCCCACTAATACCATAAACGCCTACAAACTCGAGACTCAAATCACCTCTACATTTATCTCCATCATCACCACCGCCATTATCAGCTTGGCCATTACCATTATTGTATTTTTCATTGCTTGTTGTTGAAACTTTCTGCCGTGCCCCTACTGAACATCCGTGAAAAAGAGCTTCATAGCTCATCGGATTCATCCAGTATATATAAAAATATTCTGATTCTGGAATCTGAAGCCGGTGGTGCAGGAGTTAGTAGTGAAATTTAATATCCCAAATCAAGTAGTTGTGAAGACGGCATGGAAGCCAATCGATGGAAGTGTTGGTGGTGTTGGTGATGGAAAAATATTGAATATCACTGAGCTGTCAATGATGCAGATTGTTCTAGAAGCGAATGATAGTGGTGGCGGGGGTGGTGTTGTAAGTGTCATGTCCACAATCAAATAAGTGGTCATGAAGATGGAAAGGAAGTCAATTCAAGCAAGAGTTGGTGACATTTGGTATTCCTAATCTGTCAGTGATGAAGTTGGGCATGGAATCCAACGAAAATAGTGGTAGTGAAGTTGCATTACCCAAACCAGGTGATCATGAACAGGGGATGGAAAACACCGAAATCTGCGCCAGTGGTTGACGAGAGACATCTCGCCCAACACTTACAACAACCCAATAACAACACAACTATACAACTCCTATCTTTTGGTTGTGAGCCAAAGGGACCACAACCTCAACCACAATCACAAGCATCACTACCCTGGCACCACAACCACGACCACCAAGCATCACCAGCTTGGTACCCCAATCTTGACCATGACCACGATCACCACGATCACCAGCATCAACCACCACCTTGTCAACACAAATCTCCACCACAACCACGACCACCAAACATGACCACCACCACCTTGACACCACAACCACAACCAGCATCATCATCACCTTGGTACAACAACGATCACCAAGCATCACCACCGCCACGACACCACGACCACTGTCACCCAGCCACCAAATCATCATCACCACCACCTTGACACCACAACCACGACCACCAAGCATCATCATCACCACAACCATAACACCACAACCATCATCACCACCACCACAACCACGATCACCAAGCATCACCACCGCCACCACCTCGACACCACGACCACCGTCACCCAGCCACCAAATCATCATCACCACCACCTTGACACCACAACCACGACCACCAAGCATCATCATCACCACAACCATAACACCACAACCATCATCACCACCACCACCTTGACACCACAACCACGACCACCAAGCATCATCAACACCACTACCACCACCTTGACACCACAACCACCAAAGCCTCATCACCATCACTTTGACACCACAACCATCATCACCACCACCACCTTGACACCACAACCACGACCACCAAGCATCATCACCACCACAACCACCAAAGCCTCATCACCATCACTTTGACACCACAACCATCATCACCACCACCACCTTGACACCACAACCACGATCACCAAGCATCATCACCATCACAACCACCAAAGCGTCATCACCATCACTTTGACACCACAACCATCATCACCACCACCTTAACACCACAACCACCAAGCATCATCACCATCACAACCACCAAAGCCTCATCACCACCACAACCACCAAAGCTTCATCACCAACACTTTGACACCACAACCATAAACCATCATCACCCCCACCACCACGACCACCAAAGCCTCATCACCACCACAACCATCAAAGCCTCATCACTACCCACAACCACCAAAGCCGCATCACCATCACAACCACCAAAGCTTCATCACCACCACTTTGACACTGCAACCATAAACCATCATCACCACCACGACCACCAAAGCCTCATCACCATCACAACCACCAAAGCCTCATCACCACCACAACCACCAAAGCCTCATCACCACCACAACCACCAAAGCCTCATCACCACCACCTTGACACCACAACCATCACCACCACCACATTGACACCACAACCACGACCACCAAAGCCTCATCACCACCACCTTGACACCACAACCACCACCACCACATTGACACCACAACCATGACCACCAAAGCCTCATCATCACCACCTTGACACCACAACCACCACCACATTGACACCACAACCATGACCACCTTGACACCACAACCACCACCACCTTGACACCACAACCACCACCACATTGACACCACAACCACGACCACCAAAGCCTCATCACCACCACCTTGACACCACAACCACCACCACATTGACACCACAACCACGACCACCAAAGCCTCATCATCACCACCTTGCCACGCTGCTGCTGCTGCTGTTGGCTTGCGTCGCTCTCTTCGCCCGAGGCCCCCGCCGCCTGCTGCTGCTGCTCCAGCTGCTGCTCGGCCGCTGCTCGGGCCCCTCTCTGGAGGGCGGCGAGCCTCCTCCTGAGCGTCCGCTTCTGCTGGAACGAGAAGGCCGGGTGGTTGGCGGCCATGGTGAGTAGCAGGGTGACCGTCTCGTCGCAGTCTTCGTCCCCGTCGTCGGTGTCCTCCGCCAGCGCCGCTCCTCCGAGGGCGGCGTAGAGGGCCGAGGCGGCCTCGCGGTTGTCGGAGCGGAGGAGAGCGGCGGAGACGACGAGCCGGCTGCGGGCCGAGGCGGTCAGGGGTAGGCCCCTGTGATGGTGGCCTCCTCGGCCTCCTCCTCGGCCTCCTCCTCCGTGAACAACACCGGGGGCGGCCAAAGACCCCGCGGAGATTCCGCGGCCAACAGCGGCGGTCGATGTTGTTGTTGTGCCGGTAGCGGCATCGCGTTCGATACCTCCAATGACTCCTCCACCACCTCCACCACCGCCACCACTACCACCTCCACCACTTCCACCACCACCGAGCACAACACCAATGTGTCCGTGCCCTGCTCCTCCTGCACTTCCAACGCGATGTCGTCCTCCTCCTCCTCCATCATCACCACCACCACCACCGCCGCCATCGTCTTCATAACCGTCACCACCATCACCACCATCACCATCGCCACCACCACCACCCCCCTCCTCCATCATCATCATCATCACGACGTCGTCGGCGTTGTTGGCCCTGGCCTCGGCGTCCCGCAGCGAGTGGAAGTCCTTGCGGGCCAACTCCTCGAGGCAGGCGGCGACGAAGCGAAGCTCCAGAGGGTTGAAGAGGTCGAGGAGGCCGCAGGCGAACTCGAGGCGCGACGAGGGGCACAGCGATCCGAACCAGCGGTACACCGACGAGGGGCCATGGAGGTCCAAGTCTAAGCTGAAGCCTTGCGGCATCGTCTCTGTTGCTGTTACAATAATAACAACAACCACCACCACAACAACAACAACGCAACTCGAGTGGGGTTTGTTGTTGAGGTTTTTGTCGTCGGTGTCTTCGTCCTCCCTCTTCCTCCTGCTTCGTCTTCTTCTTCTGCTGCTGCCAGCCGCCTCCGCTTGTTGTGTTCGGGATGTTGTTGTTGTCACAACCACAACAACAACCACCACAACTCGAGTGGGGTTTTTGTCGTCGGTGTCGTCCTCCTCCTTCGTATCTCCCTCCTTCTGCCAGCCGCCTCCGCTTGTTGTGTTCAGTGACGAGCTGCTTGTTGTTGAGGTTGTTGTTACAACAACAACCACCACCACAACCACAACTCGAGTGGGGTTTGTTGTTGGTGGTGTTTTTGTCGTCGGTGTCTTCGTCCTCCTCCTCCTCCGTATCTCCCTCCTTCTGCCAGCCGCCTTCGCTTGTTGTGTTCGGTGACGAGCGGGATGTTGTTGTGGTTGTTGTAGTTGTTGTAGTTGTGGTGGTTGTAGTTGTTGAGGTTGTTGTTGTTGTTGTTACTGATGGGTGTTTGGTGCGTGTGGCTCTGTCAGCTGCTCACGCCATTGTGTGTGTGGCCGCCTTAAGGATACCCGGGGTACAAGTTGGTTGGTGCAAAATAAATATTTAAAGATTTTTATACGAATGTTGTCGAGTAAGGCGCTTCGGGATTTATAAATGTTAAAAAAAAAATAGTGAGGTTTAAAATAAAAGTATTGTATTTTCAATGTGTTTGTGAAGAATTTACATGAATTGTTACTAAATCATGTGATGTGTGCGTGGTGTTAACGAGTTGTGTGTGTGTTGATGTTTTAGCGAGGAGAGGTTCGTGTAAAACGTTTGAATAAGAATAAATAGCGAAATGTTTCGTAAATCGGTGTTAAAAGTAAAATGTTGCGTGTTAAGCGTCGCAGACGGTTTAACGTTTGGCGTTAACGGAGTTTGTGTTAACGAATTTATTAACGATTTTTGTCAACTGTATAAAATTACAATATCCGTTGATAGTTACAATATGTAGATTTATTTTCAAATATCGGTCACTAAAGTGTCAGATTAATAAATCGGATTATGGCATGATAGCGATGCTGAAATAACGAGTGCTATATTAAAAATAAACAACAAAATATCGACGTGCTAAAAATAAACAAATATATTACGTAAAAACAAGAGAAACAACGGGATCGTATTGTAAACGTCACTTTGAAGTGAAGAAAGGATTTAAATGTTTAAAAAAAAACCTTAACCGTTGTATAAGCGTGTAAAGTTCAGCCTTAACATCCGGGCATTCTAGAAGCATCCAACGGCAAATCGAGCGTCGATCGCGTCGATCGACCGCACCACCAGATTCGTTTTTTAAAAAAAATTAACAAAATCTATATCGGCGTTGTTTTGACGTTCAATTTCAAATTAAAGCCCGCACGCGTGATAGTTTTAATTTTAAAAAATAATTTGTAAAAATATAAATATGTGTGTTGTAACGTACAGACGAAGCCCCCCCCCCCCATCGAAATGTCGACGCTCGATTGCTCTCGGAGGCGAGAGCAATCGAGCGTCGATCGACAACCTCCCTCTGTACAATATTTTTTTTAAAGATAAAAGTTTAAAAGTGCTAAAGTGTTGCGTTTTATAATCCCCGTATATGTTTTCTTAGTGTGTGTGTGTGGTGGTTTTGACTTATCACTATACGGGGACCAACATTCATCTGAACCGGTCCTGGGCCTCCCCCTAGGTCGACTCAGCCTCAAATGAGTACCTGGTGCGGTGTGTAAAACATCGCCACTGGGGAGACAAAGGCGGCCGGGCGTGGTGTTGGCCACCCACCCCCTCGTGTGCCGTGCCGGCCTTCATAGGTGCTGCTACTCGCTAACAGCACTTGCCCCTACAGTCTGTTAAGGTTACACGTAGGGGTCTTTTGACCGACCCACCAGATTTATAGAAGTGTAACTTGTCATTGACAATTTTGATTTGAAGCTTTCGTGACTGCAGTGATCCATAAACTCTTTGGTTCTTTCGGTAAAGTCACGTAGGTCGAAAATTAATCGATCACGACGAAGATTTGCTGGTTTGTCCAGGATGTTTCTGTTGCGCGTCGTCGCTTTAAGATGTTCTGTGTTCATATTTTGTTGCGGTTGCACCCGACTCAAGTTCAAGTTTTAAGTTCATGTATTAGGTGTAGCCCTGTGAGCCATTCGGCTCTTGAATCGGGTGCAACCGCAACAAACAACAAAAACATGAACAAAAAAACATCTTCAAGTGAATATGTGACTAAGTGCAAACAGAAAATCCAAGAAAAGACAGCAAAATATTGCAGGAAAAAAAATCACCGTACACCAATGCTGTGTGCAAAAATCCCAGTGGGATGCAAGTCAAACAACAACAACAACCACAAGACAACTTAGATTAAGGCCACCAGTCTAACTCCGTACTACAACAAACAAACATGGCCAAACCAAAAAACTTTTCGAAATCACCAAAATAAAGCAATGAAACAGTGATCATAGGAACTGACGGAATTTTCACAATAAACGACATAAACAACATGTACTACCAAAACCCTGCAGCCGTAGCTGGCTGCATGAGTCACTCCACAACAGCAGCAGGAGCATAAATCGGAGTATTATTATTTTTCAATGCACCTTTAAGATTAGCACACTAAATCAAAACACAGGTCATACTTTGGCAGCAATCATGCGCAGCGAAACATTTTATTTTAGGCCACTGAATTACAGGGCTCCACCGAATAAATGAAACTTGAAACAAGCCACCGGATGTGTTGCGAACGAAACGTCGTGATCTATCCATGTGTTATTGGCACTTAGGCACGAGTTTGTGTTTGACGAGTCTTTAGCGGAGCGTCTCATCTAGAGAACACGGCCACAGATCTGAGTTAGAACCTCAGCCTATTAAGATAAATAAAAAAAATATCACATTTTACGCTGGCGCGGGCATTTTAATATAAGCCACAATTTTTTAAATTAAAGTTACACTTTTAAAACTAACATCTCACTGGAACATTTTTTTACATTCATTCAAATGCCTGATTGTTCAAGAATATTCGAGAGAGTGCTGGCAATTGACAAACTCGCTTTGCTGTAGCGACGCTCACAACAACGAGCGGAGCGCCAGGTGGATAAAGCACAGCAAGTTGGCACAGTAGGGAGCACAGGTGGTGCATCAGCCAGTCATCTCGGTCATCTCAGTCAGTCGACCTGTGGCACCTGCAGGGTCTGCCCCGTGACCTCCTGCCAGCGGGCGTTCGACACTTCACGTGGTAGCCTCAAGGTGCACATGGCCTGGCACAAGCGTCGTGGTGACGTAACCGCCACTTAGTGGCGAATGGCGGTTGTTGTTGTACATTGAATTCGTCACCTTAGTGTTGAAACATCATTGCCTGCCCCACGTTCAGTCCACTGCTGGATGAAGGCGGCGGTCTCTCCTCCACTAGCCGTGGAGTTTAATTCGTAAAATTGATCATTGATTGACCTACTTTACCATACTTCACCACGCTGGCTGATGCGGATCAGATTTCACCTAAATCGGGACTCGCCTCACAGAATTAACGATGATGAAGGCCTCTTTTTAAATCCTTTATATTAAATTCACTTGCTTGCTTGCGCGCTTACGACCGTGCACATCTTTCGGTCGTTTTTTAACCCACTTTCCGTGATCCAATCGAGCTGACATTTTGCACACAGACTCGTTGTGCGTGACAATTTATTTTCGTGAAATTTTTTTTCAAAAATTTTACACTTTTTAGGAAAAAATAAATTATATTTAATTACCAATTGCTTAATGGTGGCAGGCAATCATCTGACCCATAGGTGGCAGCCATCTCAAGCCAGAGGACGAGAGGACTCTAGCCGCCACGCATATAAAGGATTTATAGTGAAAAACTTTGTTTTTACGGGTTAATTTTTACACGCCGTGTTAGTCGTAGCGGGGTTGTTTGACCATACTTCACCACGCTGGTCGATTGCGCGTTGAAGATGCTTCTCTAATTCCGGCTTTAAAGCATTACAGACGGCCCACAGGTTAATTCGTGTTTCCTGTTATGCATAAGGCGGTGCAGCTAACCTTTCAATCACAGTGTTTGCATCACTGTGGTAGCAACCACAATTGTTGTTGGTACGTCACAAGAATTCTACTGAAATGTTGATCATCAGTCAGCAACTTCCAACCACAAGACAAAGGCCGCCCCCGTTTTATTACCAGTAACTACTTTGTACGTGGGTCTCTATGTGAGTCTGTGGGTCTCCGTGTTAGTCTCTGGGTCTCCATGTGAGGCTCTGGGTCTCTATGTGAGTATGTGGGTCTCTGTGTGAGTCTCTGGGTCTCTGTGTGAGTCCCTGGGTCTCTGTGTGAGTCTCTGGGTCTCTGTGCGAGTGTTTGGGTCTCTGTGTGAGGTTGTGGGTCGCTGTGTGAGTCTATGGGTCTCTGTGTGAGTGTGTGGGTCTCTGTGTGAGTCTGTGGGTCTCTGTGAGTGAGTCTTTGCGTCTCTGTGTGAGTCTTTGGGACTCTGTGAGTCTCTGGGTCTCTATGTGAGTCTCTGGGTCTCTGTGTGAGTCTCTGAGTCTCTATGTGAGTCTCTGGGTCTCTGTGTGAGTCTCTGGGTCTCTGTATGAGTCTCTGGGTCTCTGTGCGAGTCTTTGTGTCTCTGTGAGTTTTTGGGTGACTGTGTGAGTATGGGTCTCTGTGAGTGAGTCTTTGCGTCTCTGTGTGAGTCTTTGGGTCTCTATGTGAGACTGGGTATCTATGTTAGTATGTGGGTCTCGATGTGAATATGTGGGTCTCTGCGTGGGTCTGTGGATCTCTGTGAGTCTATGGGTCTCCATGTGAGTCTATAGGTCTCTATTTGAGTCTGTGGGGTCTCTACGTGAGTGTTATTGTTCACAGCTCGGTAATTCCCAAAATATCTTCCCGTTCCATAATTTCCCCAGTCAATTGCTCCTGTCCAATAGTGGCCTCCAAACCCTGTAATGTCATATGGCTGTTGCGACTGATGCTCCTGCTGTTGTGGAGTGACGCATGCAGCCAGCTATGGCTGCAGGGTCTGGTGGTACATGTTGTTTACGTCGTTTATTGTGAAAATTCGGTCACAGTTCCTATGACCACTGTTACATTGCTTTTATGGCTTTATTTTGGTGATTTCGAAAGTTGTTTTGGTTTGGCCATGTTCGTTTGTTGTAGTACGGAGTTAGACTGATGGCCTTAATCTAAGTTGTCTTGTGGTTGTTGTTGTTTGACTTGCATCCCACTGGGATTTTTGCACACAGCGTTGGTGTATGGTGCTTTTTCTGCAATATTTTGTTGTCTTTTCTTGGATTTTCTGTTTGCACATTGTCACATAGTCACTTTAAGATCTTCTTGGTTCTTTCGGTAAAGTCACGTAGAAGGGAAATAATAAAATAATAAAAATTAAACATTTTAAAATTATTCTCACGACGTTTCGGTCACAACGCAAGCAGCCGTCCTCAGGTGAAGAACAGGTCTGTCGGAAAGACAGCGTCTGAATGAACACCACCAGGCTGGGCAGCGTATATTTAAGCTGGGTTGGAGGGGGAAGAGCGCCTTGACAAAGGAATATGCATATCAAGAGAAATTTAGCATATTTATGGAAAATGCAGATATGGGATTAGTCACTACTTGTGGAATGCGTAGGAGGTGGGCGGGGGGTTTCAAAGTCATATTATGCCCGTGCATTATGCAGGATTAGCAGCATCAAAGGGAGGGATTAGGGTTAGCATTAATAAAGGGAAGGAATGTTAATAGCATGGAGCTGCAGCAACTATGCGATTGCACCCGATTCAAGAGCCGAATGGCTCACAGGGCTATACCAAATAAATGAAAACTGAAACTCCTGCTTCCCTCTGCTGTCTTTTTCCCCCTTCTTTCGCTCTCCACTCGAAAAGAGTTGACTCCGTTTCTCGACTTCAGTTGTTTCCAACGATGCGTCCTGACCGTTTGCACTGAAATTATTTTTGCTTTCACTGCAGCATTGGTGACTTCTTCCCTAGCCCCCGTTGTAATTTTCCTTATTTGTTCTGCAGTTGTTTTTATTTGTCAATCATACAAAACAAAATCTTTTTATTTACCTAGCAACGCCTCGTTTCTCAGCGTGCTTCAGTCTCCCTTTAATACTGGTAGGAACCCACTGGTTCCACCAGCCCACAGGAGATTATTGTGTCCGTCCGTCGTGCAGGGAGGGGCTGGGTGGGGTGGGGAGGGGCTGGGTGGGGTGGGGAGGGGCTGGGTGGGGAGAGTGGGGCTGGATGGGGAGGGGAGGGTGGGGAG